CTATATGCTAAGTTTAATTCCCTCTGTCTTTGCACTGTATTGAGGTCATCTTCTCCTGAAATTCTTAACAACACAGGGATGCTGACCCCAAATCTGTCAGCATTTGCCCAGCTGTTATAATAAATGACACATATAGATTTTATTTTCTTCATGTTCTGTTTGTGTATATCTTCATTAATAACTCAAAAAATGTGTTTTCCAGTGGAAGGGAAGAACTGAGTTGCCCAGTGGGGCTTTCCTTTTTGATGTACTGAGAATGCAGTAAAGCTAATCGCTGAGGTCCAAGAACATAAAAAAAAAAGAAAGCAAAAGGAAGAAGGCAAAAGAAAAAAGCCAAGAGGCAAAAGGAACAAAACAAAAGCCAAGGGCAAAGAGAAGGAGAAAGAGGAAAAAAAAGGGTGGGTGTGTGTGTGAAGAAACAGAAGAGGAAGAACAAAAAAAAAAAAGAGAAAAAGCAGGCATGACTAGTAAAGTTGGTATTGATCTGCAGAGAAAAGTATAACCAAATCCTATGACATATAAATGACAGCATACCTATCTGGGTCTGGCTACATAACCTCTGGCTATGCAGATGATACTGTAGCAAAAAGATTATGGAACAAGCTGAGAAACAACAGTCTACATCAGACAATGATGTTTGCCCATCATTGTGTCATTTGCATCAACAGTGTCTTGCATCAGGGGGTAGATGAGAATTGAATATGGTCTATTGACAGGCTGCCATGAGGAAGATGATGGATAGAATTCTTTGGGTTTTCTTTGGTTTAAATATGAAGAGATGAATTGTACTAATCAGCCTTCTCCCACAAGCCCGCAAGGATCCAGCATATCCACTGCACTTGTACAGTTCCTGGGGCTGGTGAATAGGAGGAAAAGGGCATAGCTTTTCCCTGATAACAGGCTGTCCCCATGGAAGGACTCTGCCTGTATTCTGTGAAGACGTGAAGATCTGGGAATAAGAATGTGTTCTCTCCTTCGCGTCTTTTTTGCACAGTGGAGCATCTGGATAGAATCTGTGCATTGCCTTTGTAGCCATCAGTGTGCTCATCTGCAGATTTTAATGAGTATTGTTGCAACAGTTATTAAAAGAAGAAGTGTTTTGAATCACTTATAGCATTAAAAGTCCCATCACTGATCATTAATGGCACGCAAATAAAAGAAGATTTTTGTGATATAGGGACTGTTGAAGCAAACTGCAAGGAAGCTAATTTGCCATGGTGCAGGAGCTACTCCTCCAAGCATTTTTGCTATGTAGAACATTGCTGTGTGAGGCTGTGGTTACTTATCTGCCTTCAGCTTTGCCACCTATTCCAGCCTGCCCACATCTTACTGCCTTCATCTCCAGTCAGAGGTTGCTGCCCCTGCCTTTGATGCAACTGCACATGCAATTGCTTCTTAACCTAGTTTTGTTTTAACAGTATGGTTTTCTTGGACTGCAGCCTTTTTTGACAGAGATCTGACATGGATCAACATATATAGTGATGCACCTCTACGCTTATGCAGACTGGTGGCCTAAAGAGGTTAGGAGAAAATTTGTTTCATAATGCTCATTTCACTAGAGATGTTCTGTTTTTCTTGTTTTACAACAGCTCTGGAGCACAACTGGATGCACAGATGAGGCTGGCCGGTGTTTTGAGACATGCAGACAGTTCTTCCAGAGATAATTCTCATGCCAATGCAACTTGCTGGCATGTGTTATGGTTGAGTTTTTCCCAGGTTAAACCAGCAGGGAGCTTGTGTTCAGCTTTCCTAGTATAATCAAGGAGGCTTGACAAATCTGTTCAATTCTCATTTCCTCATGGACTAGAAAGATGGGATACAATGTGGAAGTATTATACTTTTATTTAGGCATCTTGTATATACCATGTACTACTATGATTTCCCCTCCCTCAAAATAATGTAATTCTTAAAATAAGTAGACATTTTCCAGGAAATACGAAAAACCTTTTCTTAATATTTTTTGTGCAGAGAGAATATTACTTACCATTGAGGTAAGATACTGTATTTTGGAGTTAATGCAGTTGCACAGATCATGTTTGACTGTATTTAAAAACAAACAAACAAACAACCCCCCCCAAACCCCACCGTCATGTTGTATCATTAAGTCCAAAGCCCTTTTATGAAAATAGGAAAGTGCATCATACGATAGCAGTAAAATAGAAGGAACAGTTTGTGCAGAAAAAAATACAGATTCAGTTCCCCTACTGAAGTGAATGAATTTAGAGTGAGCATCAGCTAGCAACCTTAACTGATGTGCGTGCTTAAACCACATCTGAATTACAAGCTGCTCACTCAATTTTTAACGTGCATTGTTTCAAAAAATCAGGAAGTTTAAGCAGTTAATGAAGAGAGAATGTTAATAATTTCTATGACTTCTTCAGCAGCTCAGTACCAATTTGTGGTTGTTAAGGCAAAATTCATCCTTGTGCAGAAGATCAAGGAAAGGTTTATGCATTATATTAGAGGAGTCTCTAGTCTGACACTTTAGAGGTTCTGAGATAGATGTAAGTAATGCATAATGCTCATAATGATTCTCCTCAAATAGATGTGTTCCACTCCAGGGCTGAATTCTTTCCACTAAATACTAATTTGCTTACTTGTAGACATCCACAGGGCTTAAGAATAGCATCTATATTGAGGTTTTGGTATGCTGGTACCAGATCTATCAGTGAAGGAGAAGTTGGTATGTGAACTATTACAGGAGCTTGACCCCTACAAATTGATGGGCCCTGACAATATCCACCCAAGGGTGTTAAGAGAGCTAGCTGAGGTTGTTGAGAGGCTGCTCTCCATAATCATAGAGAAGTCATGGAGATCGGGGGACATCCCAGAAGACTGGAAGAAGGCTAATGTCACCCCCATCTGTAAGAAGGGCTTCAAGGAGGATCCAGGAAATTACAGGCCCATCAGTCTTATTTCAGTCCCTGGGAAAGTTATGAATGAATCCTCCTAGGGGCTATCACAGATCAAATGAAACGCATGATTGGGAAAAGCCAGCATGAATTCACCAAGGCCAAATCGTGCTTGACAAACCTGACCACCTTCTACGTCAAAGTAACCTGCTCAGTTGATGTGGGGTGAGCGGTGGACATTGTCTACCTGGATTTCTCCAAGGCTTTCTGTATGGTTTCCCACAGCCTCCCCCTAGAGAAACTGATGCATTACAGTCTAGAGAAGTAGTCTGTGTGGTGGGGGGGGAACTGGCTGACAGGCCGCACCCAGAGGGTGGTGGTAAATAGCTCCTTTTCAAACTGGCAACCTGTCACAAGTGGGGTCCCCCAGGGACCGATATTGGGCCCAACACTGTTTAGTATCTTCATAAGTGATTAGGATGATGGAATCCAGTGTACCCTGATGAAGTTTGCTGAGGATAACAAACTGAGTGGGGAAGTGGACACTTCGGGAAGGGAGAGCCACCCTGCAGGAAGACCTGGATAGGCTGGAAGAGTGGGCTACGAGAACCTTATGAAGTTCAACAAGGACACGGTCTTGCACCCAGGAAAACATAATCCAAGAGTGCAGCACAGGCTGGGATCTACCCAGCTGGGGAGCAGCTCTGTGGAAAGGGACCTGGGGGTCCTGGTGGACAACAAGCTCAATATGAGTGAACAGTATGCTGCTGTGGCAAAGAAAGCCAACAGGACACTGGTTTGCATGAACAAGGGCATCACCAGCAGAGATAAAGAAGTCATTATCCCACTCCACTCAGTGCTTGTCAGGCCACACTTGGAATACTGTGTTCAGTTTTGGTCCCCACTACACAAAAAAGATTTGGACAGGCTGGAGAGGGTCCAGAAAGGGCCACAAAGATGATCAAAGGACTGGGAAGCCTGCCACATGAGGAAAGGCTGGAAGAACTGGGTTTTTTCAGCCCTGAGAGAAGAAGGCTTAGGGGAGACCTTATCACCATGTTCCAATATTTAAAGGGTGGCTACAAAGACGATGGAGACTCCCTTCTCACAAGAAGTCACATGGAAAAGACAAGGCAGTACAAGTTACTTCTGGGGAGATTCTGGCTGGACACAAAAGCAAAATTTTTCACAATGAGAACAATCAACCATTGGAATAATCTTCCCAGGGAAGCGATGGATTCCCCAACATTGGACACTTTTAAGATTCGGCTGGACAGGGTGCTGGGCCATCTTGTCTAGAGCATGCTTTTTCCAAGAAAGATTGGAGCAGATGATCCTTGAGGTCCCTTCAAACATGGTTTTCTATGATTCTATGATTCTATGATCTGCCGTGCTTCTAGAAAGATACATTTTCACATCCTGTCCCCCAAAAGTAGAAATGTTTGTTCAAAAATGAGAATATTTAGAAAGTGACTTTGTGCCTCCAGCTGAAGGAGCTTTTCAGGAAAGACTTGGAGCAAAACTTACTCCAGGCTGTGATGGGACTAATAATGTTTTCATGTGCATTATTGTCAGTACCTTCAGGTAAACAAGGGATCGAATTCTCTCCCATTCAGGGATACGCTGTGTATTTGCATCAGTATGTGTCAGATTGGTTAAGCATCCTCATTTCCAGTATTCAGATTTTTGTGTTACATCTTGGCTTCTTCAGCTGAGAGGTAGCTAAAGAAGAGACCAAACACAGTCTTTTGCTGAGGCTTCCTTGACAAACAGCTGGGGTGCAACCCTTGTCTCTAGTCTCTCTACCTTTTGGTGATGCATAGCAAAGATCACATCCAGTTGCCTACTACCCAGAACTAGTTTCAAGCTCAGGTGCAGCCTTTCCCAAACTACTTGGGCATTTCACCATCCAGGAGCCCATGAAACATGTTAAGTGACCTGACTTACAGAAGGCAGATCATGCTCGGGGCCAACATAACAAAAGAGGTTCAAGCAAAACTAGGGGAGCAGGTAGAAATGGAGTGGGAACACGGTTTGTGACAGTTCAGCCAATGAGCAGTGTCTTGTTAAGCTGCTGTGACTCCACTGTATTTGAGCAGGTGCTCATAACTCCTCTAAACAGAGTAGTAAATCATAGCTTCATCTTACCCCCAACACTTGGCATCCTGGAAGACTCCTGATGACTACTGGATTTGTTGCGGTTCTGATTTTTCCTTTTATTGTTGGCTGCTCGGACAGAACGGAAAAGCACTTCACTTGCCTTGAAGAATGCAACCATGAATGGTTGCTTTGACTGAGGCCCATGTCTTCCAATCAGGCCAGCAGATTTAACATTGATACTTCGACCTATAAAGTAAGGGAAATTGTAAGTTAAAAGGTGAATTTCTGCCCCTCCTGAAGCCACAGTGGGAGTTTAACTACTGACTGAAGCATGGCAAGGATTTTGCCCATAATCTGGAAATTACGTGATTAAGAATCCTAACCACATTTTGCTGAACAGAACTTAAAAGACAAAAAATTCAACAATTTACAAAAGTTTCAACAGCTTTACAGGTAGTTTGTCATTGCATAAAATTGCAGTCTCTGTGCACTATATATCTTATTCATTACTCAGATATTATAATTCGGTCTCATGTACACGTATAGAACTGAAAAACAAATGAGCCCCATTAAAGTCTATAGGCTATTGAAAGGATAATGTAATGCAGTCCTCTAATTTTTGCATCACTTGAGTGTGAAATGTGGAACCTTATATCCCCAAAGCAAATCAGTAGCAAAAAGAACCGTAGATAAATAAATATAATTCTGCTTTAAAAATAGATATTGTGGAGTGTTACTCGAACTAATGTTCATACACTAGTAAAGGTAGGAAGGCATTCAGTTGTTCAAGAGAACAGAGTTTGAAATATGTACATTATTGACTCTGGTCCCATTCCCAGGGGATGTGCATATTTCTTTAAAATATTTGTTCAGTCAGGACTGTGTGGTAACCTCACTATATTATAGGATCTAAACCTCAGTAAAAGAAAAGAAAGCAAAGCAAGTCACTGAAACTGCATCAGTGACATTTTAGCAAATAAACCCTTGCTCTTAACAGAATTTATTTTGGCAGCATAAACACTTTTGTGCGTACGTGTATTATGCAGAGCCCTTCAACCGTCAGAAAATGAGACAGTGTCATGTGAAGCTGTGCAGCTGTGCTGGGTGGGGGACACAGAGGTCCTTTAAACGGGAAGGTACGGGCACAGGCACGGCGTGCGCTGTGCAGCATCGGGGCGCCTGGGGATTCTTCTAAACTGACTGGAAAAGTTTGCTACGCGGGCAAGGAAGGAGCATCTGCCTCACAAACATGTAATGCTGTTAACTCAATCATCCTGAAAAAGAACTTGCAAATAAGCATAGGAGTAAACCTTATAGAAATAAGCATATAGGTTTCCTTTTCAAACACAAACTTACAGTGGCTGTGTGCCAGAGTCTATATTTCTTAGAAAAACTCTATCACTGGCGTAAATGAAAGAGGCAGTTTGATTTGTGGTTAAAGTAGTTTCCATTCTACTTCCACTGTAACAAATGTATTAATTCAGCTCAGACTTCCTCCTTCTGGCAGCCCTTTTGCAGTAAAAAGAGAAATTAGAAGTTCCAGCCAAATACCATACCTTGAACTGACCCACTTCAATACATAAACACTTTTACAACATGTTTATTCAGGTGTAGCACTTTAAATTGGTTTAAGATGTTTCCAGTGACAGAGCGCCCAGCAAAGGCAAGAGAAGAACTGAGAAAGTTAGCAGTTATGGAGCAGAGTAATTGGCAACATATTCTGAACAATTTTGATAATTACTTTTTTGACTGCAAGGGAAAAATATATTTGCTGAAGCTTCTGATTTCATTTTAAATGGCTTTTTAGTCTTGTGTTTCTTTAATTCTTCTTTTCATGTGTTTGAGTTACTATTAAATAATTCAGTAACATTAATTTCTATATGTTCCAATCTTCTGTTGCAAGTCAGATATGAAAAACTGTAGAGACTATTCTCTATTCATTGCAACATGGACAAACTAGCCTCTTACCACAAAGTTCCAAGTTTCCCCTCATTTCTAGAGGGAATATTTTTACTATTTTTCTTTATTTTTTGTTCCAATGACTTTCAGAATTTTAATTTTATCTGTAAAAGATTAATACCTTACTGGTGGACATTTTAAGAATACTATTAGATTTATATACTGAGGGCTGTAAAGATGTGTGGAGGTTTTCTGAATTTAAATCTTAAGTTCTCTGAATTTACAATGGTGGATATTGTGTGTGAAGCAAAATGTCCTTCAAACCAACGTGAACTCCCTTTAAAATAACTTTTAATATTATTAAGTTTCCTCTGGGTTTCCTTTAGGCTTCAGCAATGAGATGGCTATTAAGATTCCACAAGTTAAGGCTTACTTGGTTATTCAGGGTATAGAGATATACTATAAAAAATTAATCCTGTAACCCACAGCCTTTTTACACACAGAAACAGCTTATGTGACTTTATTCCTTCATTTGCTTGATCTTTTCAGCAGCCAGCCTGAGTTTTTAGGACCCATTTGTTCATTTCATGAATGGTATATGCACTGAATCTGCTTCTAGTGCAGTCAACAGAAAAACTTTTATTGACTTCTGTGGGTTCATCATTAAACTTTTCTCTCTCTGTTTATCATATACCTTAGCTTAACTGCAACTTTCAGAAGATGAAGCAATCAAAATATACACTGCCCCTGAGACGCTATATTTCTTCCGAGGAGGATCTCTGAACTGTTTGGTTTGGAAATTCAAACCACATATGTTGTCTCCATTTTAGGTTGCTTCTGTGCAAAAGAAAGTTTGCACTTACAGAACTGCTATTATCCTTCATTTAAAAAAGAAAAAAAAAAAGTGTGTGTGGGGGAGATGTCCTTCAGTCTAAGACCGCAAAGTTTTGCCCCTTCCTGAACAGGAGATATTTCAAAGTATCCTGCCTCTGAAATGCATCAAGCTTTCTGCCACAGCAGTAGCTGCATCTGTGCGCTATAGTCCTGTTAGGTAGCCCTCACCTTTGTCCATAGTGTGGATTTCAGAATACAGTAAGAAAAATCTTACACTACCCTGAACTGGCCTTTGTAGCAAGAAGCATTCATGGGCTTCATTTTTAGTAAGCAGTTTTAGTCTATCATTTCTTGTAAGCATTTAGAAAACTCTTGGCTTCGATGACAACTGAAAATCCAGGTCTATCCAGCACACAGTTGTTCCATACTGTGGTATTAGGGCAATATTTTCTAAAATCAGCTGAATGACTCAGGCTGACCTGCTTTAACTACACCTTCCCTTGGAGCTTCACCCACATGAAACTGGTAGAACCAAAACAGCAAGGTGTGTCTCTCTGCTTATCTTGAGCATCTCTGAACAAGAACTGAATTTGGTCAGGCATTCTGAAAAATGTGTTTGGTTTTATACTTCCATATCTTTAATTCGGAGGATTTCAAAGACTTTTCTTCAGACTTTAGAAGAAAAGAAAAAGAAACTGCAAAAAACCAGCATTCAGCTAGTGCCTGCTCCACTGAACCTGATCAGTGCAATTGCCCCTACACCTAGAAAAAACAAATAAGCATAACAGATGGACTTACTCTGTGCAAGGATAGTCCAGAACCTTTGTATTCCTCACAATCTGGCATGCTCTTCTCAATCCTGCTATGATAATTTATTATCTCTTCTCTATATTGACAGGTATATTTGGAGACTAAGACTTATTTAAAGCATTACGTTTCAAATCTGCTGAACTCCTTAGTCCTTATTCATATCATTTTGAGTCTTTGGCAAGATGTATTTGTTTGACTTGGCATTTAAACTTATTTTCGGCTTTTATTCTATTTGATAGCAAAGTGCCCTTAGCAGTTTGCATAAAAGGTTGCATGGAAGTGCCGGTTTGACTGACTGAACTGAATGAATATTATTTGTCTTTTCACATTCTGTCCCCTTATAATAAAGGAAATGCTGCTGCAAAAATAACTGTGAAGTTCAGCTTATAAAAAGGTTCTAACTCAACAATCCTGATGCTTTTGTTCCTTTTTTTTTACCCACAGAATAGAAATAGCACTCAGGATCATAACTGCAGAGCTATTTGCTGTGTCACTATGTCCATTTTTCTCCTGTGACATGCAGTCGTATCATACAATTCTTTTCATGAACTGATCAAGTTCCATCTTAAAAGTTCATTTCCCCCCCCAGCTGCTCCAAATGGAAATGCAAGAGCCCTTCAAGCTTTCAATAATAATCTGTCTCACAGTCCTGACCTGGAGACATCACCTCACTTTTCATGACATTCAGAAAGCTGACTTCTGAGATCACCAGTGTGGATGCCAATGACAGTGGTAAGATTTGTGACTTGGCTGTCTCTCCTCAGGCAGTATATATTTTATATAAGGCATTGAGCAGACACTAATTTTGCAAGAGCTTTCAGCCATTATGCATCTTGGCCAGATTTACACTGGCAACACAGGACAATGAGTGATTCCAAGATCCATTATTTTGTCCTGAGTCATCAAACTGTAGCAAACCACTCATTTTGTTATGAAAAACAAGCACTTATTTACTTCCAGAAGTGTTCAACAAGCCACAAAACACATTTTACAGATTAACCACTATTGCTAGGTCACAGTAGTTGTTTTCGTAATAATTTCATATATTTGTAGATAGAAATGAAAACTTCAGTGATGCTTGAGAATTTCCAATGCCACACCTATGGTTTCCTCCTCATGGGGAGTGATATCTGAAATGAGGTTTGGGAAAGGCCTTTTGGAGAAAGACCCTGAGTATACAATGTCCAATAATGTCTAATATTTGAGCAAAAATTGTCCTGAGGCCCTGAGTCTGAAAGCTTGCATAGTAGTTTTCAAAATTAGATAGAAACTTGTGTGGTTTCTCATGCCTGAACAGTGCTCTTGAGAGCAATGGAACTTCACAAAAGCATTGAGGTAGAGTTTGCCTACCAAAGCTTAAATGAAGGCTTATGAAAAAAAGGAGAAAAGAAAACTTGACAACACAAATGTGATGGTCCATATATAAGACATTCTCAACACTCCAACTCTGAAGTATTTTGTAGTGTCTCTATTGTATCATCTACATAAACTGTTATGCAAACTTTTCCTTTGGTGGACACATTTATCTTTATCAACATAAAATATGCTTTTGAAACAAGCTTCATGTGTTTTATTAACTCTTCTGCTCCCTGGAGGCTTTAAGGAATTCTGAAAAATGGGTGGTCTTGGATGGTCTGCTCTGTTCTTCCTAGGTTTCACAGCTTTGGTCAAAACTAATGATTCAGCTTTTGGTTTTAAAATCT